AATTAAAGTGAATTAAAATAAAATGTGGTATATGTATACCATGCAGTACTACTCAGCCATAAAAAATCAGTGAACTAATACCTCTTGTATTAACCTAGATGAAACTGGAGACCATTTTTCTAAGTGAAATATCACAATAATGGAAAAACAAACACCACATATATTCACCATTAAATTGGAACTAATCGATCAACACTTATGTTTACATATGGAAATAACATTCATCAGAAATCAAGCAGGTGGGAGGGGGATGGAGGGGATAGATAAATTCACACACCTAATGGGTACAATGCACACTATCTGAGGGATGGGCACACTTATAACTTTGACTCAAATGGTAGATACAAAAAAAATTCATGTATCGAAAACATTTGTACCCCTGTAATATTCTGAAATAAAAAAACGGATTAGATTCAGATTCATAATTTTGGGCAGGAATACTTTCTACATGACGTATTGTAAAAAGAGATATATAACATCAAGTTCCCACTATCAGTGAAGCCATGTTTGATCACTAGGTTTAGGCAGTGACAGCCAGATCTCTCCAGTGTAAACCATTTTTCCCCTTTGCAATTAGCAAGTAATCTGGTGGCTGATACTTTGGTATCAGGCAAACACCCATACACCAGTCAACCTTTCACCTAATGTTTTCAGCATTTATTTATGCTCATTGCCTATTTCACTCAGGGTTGTAAAACAGTGATTTTTCTAATTGTGTCTTTTTTTCAACATGTATTAGTTGGCATTTTTCTTTTAAAAGAGAGACTTTTCTTATCAACAGGAACTATCTGGATATCTTGATCCATAGTTTCTAATAAAAATGTTTGATAATTATTTAATTTTTCCCCTAATTACTAATTTTCAGAATATGGACTTGGCATAATAGTCACCTCCATCAGTATCAAACCCACTGTTGCTTTTGTTGTTCTCTTCACTAATTATCATTGAGTCATGTATATTTTAATATTATCAATGTATTTCAATCACAGTAATTATTTTTTTAGTGCTTAAGATTCCCCACATTTGGTCAACGGGAGCTGCTGCAGTTTGGCAGCCTTGTCATTTCAGCAGAGCTCCCTTAGTCTTTGAATGCTTCCTTGTTTTCTGACCCCCAAGCTCATTTTGTACTTTTCCTGCCCCAGACCTGGTATTAGTCATTTCTCCACACAACAATCAACACAGAAATTTAGGAGCCCAAACTGGGCGATAGGTGGTGCTCACTACTATTAAGATGCCATTGCTTTTAGGCCATTTCAGTGGTCCGAGTTAGAAGGTATGTATATATGTGTGTGTATGCATATATGCATAGATATTTTTCTATATGTTATAAATATATACATATAGAAAAATGTTATTATATATTTATATTTATATAAATCATATATATGTCATGAGTTCCATTTCCAACTCAAATGGAACATGACAGGGATATACTTAATTATTTAATTCTTGTTTCCTTTTTCTCCTACCTTTAAAATCTTGGTTTCCAATAACATTCATATTGCTTTATTATATAATATGTAAAAATCATTCAAAGCAGGAACACTAATATAACTACTAAGAATAAAATTAATAAAGTTTAAGATTTCATAGCAATCCTGTTGTCCTCAAAATATATGACACTAAGCATGTACAGTCTGATTATGTGAAATAATTATTTTCTGCATGTGAGTATGATTAGATATTTAAATATGTTTACTTGTTTTGGTTGGTTTTCAATTTTAGTGTTCAGTTTTTTATTTCATAAAGGTCCAAATTACATGTATAATTCTATTGCTCTTTTTTCCCTTAATAAATTCTGGAAATAACTCTAGATCATTACGTAGGGATCTTCCTCACCCTTTTATTAGGATGGTCCAGTGCTACTGTATACCATATTTTGTTTAATGTGTCTTCTCTGATTGGAAATGTGAGTTGTTTCCAATCTTTTTCTCTTAAAAACAATGCCAGTATCAAAGATTATACATATGTTGTTTTGTACTTTGGTTGTGTAATTTCAGGGTAGAGCACTAAGTGGGATTTCTGGGTCAAAGGGTAAATGAATCCCTAATTCTGTTAAGTTCTGCCAAGTTGCCCTCCATGGAGCTGTAACATTTTGTGCTCCCACCAGCAACGTACAGAGCACCACCTGTTTCTTTCCAGACCTGTCAACAGGGCTGTTGTCAAACTTTTGTATTTCTGCCAATCTAAAAAGTGAGAAATGATGTCTCAGTGTAGTTTTAATTTGCCTTCTTCTTGTGTGTAAAGTTGATAATATTTTTATATGATTAAGAACCATTTACACTTTTTTTTCCTGTGAACTTCAATTCACATCTTCTTTTATTCTAGTTTTCTTCAGACTTTGTTCTATGTACTTCTTCCCTTTGCTGATTTTTCTTTGTATCCTTTTGCTGTAATAAATCATAGCCAAGAGTATGACTATATACTGAGGATGGTGAGTCCTAGCAAATCACAAAACCTGAGGGGGTTTTGGGGACCGTGACACAATACGCTTTTCCATGTGGTCAAAGACATTTTTGTGTCTTTAAGGAGAGTTTTGAAGTTTTCCTCATGTAAATTTTGCTATCTTGGTAGGATTATTCCCAGGTATTTTTTGTTGTCGTTTTTATAAACTAGAGTTTTGTCTTCCAATATATATATTTAACTTGTTATTGTTTGTATTCATGAAGACAATTAATTTTGACAGATTAATCTCATATCTCGGTACCTTATAAAAGCTCCTATTGTTTTTAGTTTTTCCATTGATTCTCTAGCGTTTACAGGTGTACTATTATGTCACCTGAAGATAGGAACAATTTAATATATGCTATTTCAAATATTATACTTCTAATTACTATCTAATCCCAGTTTATTAATAACTCCAAAACATGTTAAATAGTAGTATGATAGTATGTATTCTTACCTTGTTGCTGCCATTAAGTGGAATAGGTCTGGTAATTCCTCATTAAGATGCTGCATGTGAGTCTGAGGTATAGGTATATGCATTTTATAATTTTAAGTACCCATTCATTTATATTATTTTGAGTGGTTATTTTCCATCATATATGTTTATCGGATGTTTCTCAAATACCTTTTAGCCTCTGTGGGAATGACCAGCTGTTTTTATTTTTCTTAAATCTATTAATATTATGAATCACATTAATGGTTTTCTTATTCAGAAAAACCTTCAGAAAAAATTATTTTTTTTTCTTTTTTTTTCTTTTATTTCAGCATATTATGGGGGTACAGATGTTTAGGTTACGTGTGTTGCCCTTGGCTCCCCCCCAAGTCCGTGTTTCAAATATGTCCATCGTTCGGGTAGTGTGCATTGATTCATGTATCGAAAACATTTGTACCCCTGTAAT